CATTATACATAATAAAACAGTGAAATATAAAAACTTTGAAGATACTTTAGGGAACTTTTAAGAGAAAAAGAATTTGAAAATCATCTGAAGACACATGATAATCAGTCTAGAAAATGGAACTGCCTACCTACCTATCATTGTTTGTTAAAAACAAACCAAACCATAAAATTAAAAATCTCTATCTTCGCATAAAATAGTGCACTGATGTTTTGCAAGTGTTAGCTAATTTTAGAGCTTACAGTGTTTACTGACAATTCTCCTAGGACAGAATTATTTTTCCTCTGGGAAAAGAACATAATCTTAGCAATAATCTGGAACCACTGCTTGAAATTCCACTGGATTTGGTAAGTGAATTAAGTGAATAGTAGTTCCATGTAAGAAAGCAATGTTAGACCTTCTCATACACATACCTGTTCCATATGTTCAAATACTGCTGGAGTAGCAATAGCAGCAGGTGCCTCTTCAATAATCTTCTGGTGCCTGCGCTGTACAGAGCAATCACGACCAAACAAAGAGATAGCATTGCCATACTGGTCTGCTAAGATCTGTACTTCCAGATGACGAGATTGTTTGGCTAGTCTCATAACAAATATAGGAGATCCAGGGACTTCAGCTTGGACCTATATTAGAAAAGAAAGCAAAACAAAGCTTTAAGTGACAAGTATTTTTTTCTTCTATCTTGATAAGCCGCTTCAAGTTCACCAGGCAGATGCCTAGAAGTGTGGGGACCATGTTAATCAGTAAGAATACAAAAATAAATAAAAACCAGTTCATGCCCTTGTCAATGTCTAAGATGCTGCATTCTTAGTTATTTAACTAATATTAATTGATGACCATGAAAAAGTATGAACATTCAGTGTGTTGTAAGGATAAAAAACAACATTTTGAGAACACACACACACACAAATTCCACAAAGGGGTAAAATACTGCTATCAACTCCTAACAGCCAAATGTACAACATGCTCCAGAATCAGATGCTTTTCTGGTTCACATTACATCATGCACAGTATTATTACAGCCAAGGGACCGTCACCTTTAATTTTGAAGCACAGTATCGCTGGATACAGAATTTTGCACTAGCAATTACTTTCATTCAGCACTGTAGAGATAACCTAATGCTTTCTGGTTTCCACTGCTTCTATTGAGATGTCAGCTATCGAACTGATTGTTATTCCTCCAAACTAATTTTTTGTCCAGCTGCTTTAAGATTCCTGTTTTTTTTTTTAAAGATTTCTTTATTTATGCATACAAGAACTAGGGTATAGGCCAGAGGTGAGGTGGTGGGGTGAAAGGATTCACCAGAGATGGAGTAGAGAACAGAACAGGGAGACTGATTGAAATACACTGCTGAGGGAAGCAGCAGTAAAGACAGAAGAGGTCTGCTGCACCACGTGGGCCAGCTCCCTGGTGGCCAGGATGGCATTTGTGCTGCAATCGCTGTGGTAGTTTGATAGAGCTGTCTTTAACCACTGTGCCACCAGAGAGGCTCCTTGCTTTAAGATTTCTTGCTCTCTCTTCTTCTTTGGGGAGTTAGGTAGCATATTTATTCTGACAAGTCTAGATGTGGTTTTCTTCGCACTTGTTCTGCAGGGCTCATAGCAGTTTTTCAATCTGTATTTTTATCAGTTCAAGAACTTTTTAGCCATTCTCTCTTCATATATTGCCTCTGCTCTGTGATTTCTTCAAATATTGTTTCTGCTCCATTCTTTCTCTCCTTTGAGACTCAAGTACATGATGTACATACCTCATGGTATCCCACATGTCTCTCATGTGCTGTTTCTTTTATGCTCTGTTTTGCTACTGTCACCTCAAAACTCATAATCCATATTATAACGACATAAACCATATTATTTGCTTTGCTCAGGACGCTGTATTCATCAGGCAGTTCTTCGGGTCTCACCTGGGGGTCACTCATGTATATCACATCTGGCGGCTCAAATGGAGTTGAATGGTCTCACTCAAGCATCTGTAAACTTATTTTGAGGGCAGGTCTAGGGAAGTCTCAACTACAACAGCTCATCTCTGTTGCATGCGAACTAATATACTAGCAAGCTATGCCAAACTTCTTCAAAATGCAGTAATCCAAGAGGTTGAGGACAAAAGCTGCAAGGCTTCCAGGTTCCACAATCTACACAGTACTGCTCTGGCCACAATTCAAATGGTCTAAGCAAGCCATAAGGCCAGATAAAATTCAAGGAGTAAGAAAAGAGAGGTCATCTCCTGAAGAGAGGAAAGGCAATGGGATATACATAAAAGGATGGGAGGAGTTACTGCGGCCATCTCTGCAAACAATTAATGAGGTCCACCCTCTGGCCACAGTAATTCACATCCTCCCACATGCAAAATAGACTCACCCCCCTCCTAAGACCCCCAAAGTCTCAGCCAATCATGGCATCAAGCTTGACATCCATTTTCTTATGAGTTATGTCCAGAAGCAAATGCTGCTCCTCAGGTGTGGCACTCAGGTGCAGTTTCTCTTGATCCGAAGACCTGGGAACTAGAAAGACACGTTATCTGCCCCTCAACACCCCCAACATGTGATGATGAGATAGGGAGGGTAAAAGACACTCATGCTCAAAGAAGAGAGGACAGGATGTACATAGCAGTCACTGGTCCACAGAACTTCTGAAATCCAGTTTAGTAGATATTATAAGGTTTCCTTACTCCAGGAATAGAGACTTGTTTTTTGCTTTTTGTTTTTTTTAACGGGTCTTGTTTTGCTCCTTAAAGACAGTTTCCTAATTCATCACTTCTCTCTACTCTCAGCTCTGTCCTCTGAACTACTATCTCTGCTTGCTGTGTAATCTTTTTATTTGCTACAAATGATTTACAGTTTAGTAGCTTTCTCAGTCTGAATCCTGTCCCCACAAAGTTGAAGTCTCAGAGGCCTCTTTAGTAGGTACTCTCTCTATCTCTTTTAGTCCTTCTGATGTATTTGTCAATGCAAATCCCTTTAAATCTTCATAGGTCCTATGAATAACACTGGGTATTCACACCTTGCCCCAAACTTTTCACACACATAATATTCTACACAAGCCTCTTCCTTTGAGCATTTCAGGCTCTTTTGCCCTGCTTAGAGGGTAATCCACAGGAACTACCTTGAATGTATCTGAGCTCTTAAAAAATCTGTTATTCCTGACTTTTATCTTGAGGCCACTTTTTTTTTTTTTTTGAGATTCTTGCCAATTGGAGAGACTAAGAACAGTTCTAATTTCAAACAACAAATGTGAAAACACCTTCTTTAACTCATCTCATTGTTACAGTTACTTACTGTAAGCAGTCAGAAGCATCTAACAGCCAATTTCATAAGAGAGATCTGGAATAACTAGGTCTACAAGTTCATTAAATATATTCTTCTTCCAAATTATCTCAGGCAAATGTTCCACCACTAAAAATGACGGGCTCCCCTTTCCCAGACTCTCATAACAATCCCTGCACACCCTTTTTCAGTCTTTATTAACAGCCTGTTCACCATTGCTCCAGCCTTTATTAACCTCATCACCATTTTCCAGCCTCTACCTATAAGCCATTTTCAAAGCCAATGCCACATGTTGTTTTTTCTCTTATGGCACTATCACACTTTTAGTTTGTGTGATAATTTCTATGTTAAGTCTTCCATGGAGGTATAACAAACTACCACAAATGATGACTTAGGACATCAACTGTTTTATTTCCTCAGCAATTAATGGACTCAGTGGGGTTGGATCCTTTGCAGAGTACAGCAGTCACCTGGTAACTTAAAGGGCTTAGATGGTCTTATTTATATGTCCCAAATGTGGTGCTTGTCAACAAGTCAGTCCTAGGGACATCTGGGATAACCCACCTCTGCTTATGTGATCCCTCTTCTCCAGAAGGCTAGACTGGGCTCTCCACATGGCAGTCTTAGGCTCACTCCAAGAGGGTTAAGGCAAACACAAGACCACTTAAGATTTAGGGTTAACCTCTGTGTAAGCCTTATACACTGTATCTGCCACATTCTATTGGTCAAACCAAGTCACAAGATCAACTAAAATTCAAAGGGTGGGAAAACAAATCCTATTTTATTTTATGGAAGAGCAGCAAAGTCTTAATGTAAAGGGTCTGTAACCAGAGATGATATCAATTATCATCAGTTATCAGTCATCTTTGCAAATAATTGCTCACATGCTGCTTTCTCTAATTTTCATAATTTTGTCTTTGTGTTTCAGTCTGTGCTTTCTTCTGAAAAATCTTCCAGTCACTAGTTCTCTCTTCAACTGCATATAATATGCTATTAAACTCCTCTACTGGTTCTTAATTTTAGTTATTGAATTTTAGTTTTAGAAATCTCATTCATTTCTTTATGGTATCTAGGTTCTGTCAAAACTCTCCATCTTGTCTTTCCTGAATATATTAAATACAGCTATTTTAAAGTCCTGGTCTAACATAGCCATTATCTAAACTCTGTGGATCACTTACTATTTTCCTTGACTTCAACCATGTAATTTGATTACCTGCTTATTTTTAATTGTCTGCTTGAAATTGCAATTTAAGTATTAATAGAAATAATTTGAGAACTGAGTTTCTTTGAGGAGGATCCAGGGCCCTCCTTGGTGGCGCAATGGGATGAAGCTAGTAGCAGCCACTTCAGCATGAGCTCCATCCCCGTTCAGAGAGGTGACCCACAGAGCGCAGCAGACCTCTCCTGTCTTGCCCACTGCTCCCCTCAGCAGTGCACTTCATCAATTTGCCTGTTCTGCTCTCTGCTCTGTCTCTGGTAAATCCTCTTACTGCCCTGCACCTCTGGCCTATACCCCAGTTCTGTATACATAAATCTTTAAAAAAAAAGAAGAGAATTCATATTTCTCCCTGCCAGTGAGTGGGCTACTAGCCATCCTAGAACAACTTGCTTGTAGTAAGGATTAAACATTTTGAAACTTAAGAGATTTTGACCCTATGGGGGCTAGTCTATTTACAGTTCATTTTTGCTCCTAAAGTATACAATCCCTTCAAAATCCCAACCTAAAATATGGGTGGTTTTCCAGAGTACTCTCTTCAGCAAGCCTTAAAACATACACCTTATCCTTTTAGTTTTATAAGGTGATTTGAAAATTCTAACCATATTTCAACTACCTCCTCTCAAACTAGCAGGTATTTCTAGGAAAAAAGCAGCCCCATACTTGAAGAGAAATACTAGAAGATATTTCTAAGGGAAAAGGTTCATCTCTCTGGGTTTCCTTCTCTATCTTTGTCTCACAACCTCCATATTCTAACCTTATTGGAATGTAAGGACTTTTACATGAAATATTTTATTAATGGTGTAGACTCTTCAACTATTTGATTTTATAGTAATATGCAGTTTTGAAATATCTAAAGGAATAAGCATTTTAAAAAATTAACATACACTTTTACTTTTAAGATGCTTTTTTAGATTTCACAAAGCATTGATTATTACCGAAAAGTGTGCAGACAGGCAATATTCAAATTTTCCCATTGAAAATTCAATAATGCAGTACAGCACATTTATCTGACATTTATCTAACAGAAGATTCAGTTCATGCGAGTTTTCCTTTTAGCCCATGACAGTGAAACAAAAAGTTTGTTGCTTTTTTTTCCCTTTTCCCCAAAAAGATGTCTAGGGTTACTACTTACAAAGTAAAAGATACTGGAAAAATAAGAAAAGTGGGAAGCCAGAAGGAAAGGACAGATTGTGTCCCAATTTCTCTTATTCTGACCCATCTTTTCCTATGTATAAGTAGAAGGAAAAACAGCGAGTAAAATATGTGAGGGTAACTCTGTGACAGGGAAGAATAAACTCCTGTCTCCCAATTTTCTAAGATTCTAAAAAGAAATTTCTTTGGCTGCTTCCACAAGCAACCTTTAGTGCAGCCAGATCAACTTGTCTGCAAATTGGAGGATGAAGCTGAGAGAGGCCCTAGGATTTAGCTTTCCGGAGCCACCCTCAGTTCTCAGAATATGGGCCTGCCATAGGCTCTGTGTGCCGAGGTGCAGTAGCCAAGCAGCACAAGCTAGAGGGTGTAGACAGTTGGCCAACAGGGTAGATAGGAATGAGCAGAAATTCAAGAACCAGCAATCAATGTGAGCTACAGTGACCCAAAGAGCCTGGGTCAAGACAAGAACATCCAGATCAGGACTGACCATACTATACACTTCATCCACAAACACAGAGAAGAGCACAGAAATATGTGCTTCCATGTCACCCTTAGGGTCTATGAGCTGCACATAAAATGGAAAAATTGAGAAACTAAGTACTTCTATATGAGAAAATAACTACTATTTGAATCACCTGAGTAAAATTTTAAACTGAACATTTCACTTAATATTTTTCCCTGCTAATATGCTGCTGGAGGCTAGAAAACTAGTTACAGACAAAAAAAAATAAAGTTATTTTCTGGACATTCAAATTATATAGAAAGTTAAATCATGTATTTCACACAAAAACAACTTGCACTTTACCTGTCTAAAGAGGTTAGGGAAATCATCTGCATTGTTGACTTTTCTGATTCCCTTTCCTCCTCCTCCTTCTGAGGCTTTGATCATTACTGGATATCCAACTTCCTCTGCTGCCTTCAAGAAGAAAGAGTAGTATTAGTAGGAGAGGGGAAAATTGGCATTTTCTGCCTTCAATAATGCTGCTATTTTGTAGACATATACGTAGTCATATACTATTAAGTAAGAAAAAAATAAACACCACCATTATAGTATCAGTTTGTACCGAAGAATTTACCCTTTTTTGTAGATTAAAAAAAAAAGTGACCTATTGACAATTTCATATGGTTCAATCTAAGATGACTTCATATAGATTAAAAACAATAAAACTATATCCTTATTATGATTATTTATATATTTATATATCTAAGTTCAAAATTACAAGTACAGAAAATACAGCAATATTAATTTTAAAAAGGCAAATTTACCCTATAAGTTTCTATATGTGTTGGAATTTCTTTCTTACAGTACAGGTATTCATGTACTACCTACAATTTTTATTAGAAAAATAAAGGCATAAGTAGTTCACTTAATATTAAATGGATAATCTCTGGAATAGCTTCTGTCAACATAAAAGATGCAACAAATTAGAACTCTCAAGAATCTAGAAAATGTTTTTCTCACTCAACCTTTTATAAAAGATAAAAATAACAAAATATTACTAAATTTTCACAGAAAAATAAAACATGATCTGTGTTTTTCAGATTTACAGCATTATACAATCAGCCGGTGGTGATTCTAAAACTTTTTGAAAAATTATCTCTCCAGAAATTAAATCAAGATATATCTATTTATTAAAATACTATGTACTCGTTAAAAGGAATGAGGAAATATTTATATGCAAAAACATAGTAGATATCTAAATGCACTGTTCAAGCAAAAAGTAAATTGGGGGAAAGTAACTGATAATTTAAAATAACCAAGTGACTATTTCATTGAAACATTTCAATCTCCTAAGGTCTACATTATAGAAATATTGGGAGCAGGGGGAATTGTCACCAAAAAAAGATCATTTCAATTCTTAATTTGTGTTAGTAGTTTAAAAATGAAATATTCAGCTAATGGCTCCAACTCTTTTAAAGTTCCCTTGACCCTTTTTTAAGTTACAAAGAGAGAGATTGATGAACTCAACTACTGGGTAAAGAATTATCAAAGAAACTGTCACAAATGTGGAAGACTTAAAAAATATAGTAGTATATATAGTAATAGGATATCAGTAAGAAAGAAGGTAGGTCTTTTAAAAACATATACAAGCTCTAGGCATGGTCAGCCACAAGTTATTTTACAAAAATTTCAATGCTATGAGGAAAATGTTTATAGAAAATACTAAGTAGGAAAAAAACAACGGATACTAATGATATCATATATAGTAAGAACCTAATTTTATAATTATTACAATAACTATATTATGGAACTCTAGTAATAAAGATAAATAAATCTATGAATCAAAAACAGATAGTAGAAAATACATGAACATGCTAACAGCATTTAACTCTGGATAGTAGGTTTATGGTTTTGTTTTTGTTTTTTTAAGATTTATTTATTTTATTTATACAGAACTGGGGTACAGGCCACACATGCGGAGGGTGAGAGGATTCACCAGAGACAGAGTGGGGAGCAGAACAGGCAGATCGATGAAGTACACTGCTGAGGGGAGCAGCGGGCGGGTCAGG